TTCTTTTGAATCATAAAACAAATCACAGCAATTCTAGCTGTTACCTATAAAATTATTTACAAATGTAACAATAAAGATATCATACCATAATAAATGTTCTGCAAGAATCCTTTACTCAGACTGAAAATAATTCACATTATAGACTTATAGTTTGTTAGTCTGAATTTTTTATTTATTTATTTTTGTTTGTTTGATGTTTGCTTTCTCAAAAAAAAAAAAGAAAACCTACTCCATCTATTAGATTGCTAAATCCACCACTGCCTGTCATGTGGTGGATTTTAATGTATGTATTGGGAGTATTCAGTGCTTTCAGAAATATGTTTTATTTAAAAGCACATTACAGGTCACCACAGTGTCTGCAGAGGCACTAAACCCACAGATAGCTATAGATAGATGATAGATGATGTATATATACATCAAAATCAATTCACTAAAAGGGCATTCAATGCCTTCATATTTTGAGTATACGGTTCATATTTTCCCCAAGCCCTGGTTAATTTTAACAACTGCATCTCTAGAGCCCATTTGTGGGTGACTGGATAATTATAATGATCTTGCTATGTGATAAGATGTTTCTAATCAAACAGTTGGCGTATCCATATCAGAATCACCATCTCACTCTTATGTGTATGTGCTGTTGTCATATTCGTTTGCACTTGTTTAAAAAAAATGCTCCACTGCCGTAGTTGATTTGGAAGGAAGGACTGTGTCTCAACTAAACACTGTAAAGCCATCATTGGGCAAAAGACTCTTAACAGTCATCTGAAGCATGGTGGGGGATCACTCTTTGTGCCAGACCATAAGATCCTTTCAAGTGTAAAGGTTATTTTCTGTGGGGTTGTTTAGGGCTTTAAAGCTCTTGTTTTCTCTTTAAGTCTCTTTTCATGGAGTCAGGCCATGCCAGAGTCAACCATTTTTCAATTTTGCTGTTGAAAAACATTAACATTTAAGATTAATCTATGACAATGAATAATTTGGAAACCATGGAAACACAATGGGCATGATGTAAAGTCCTCTTTCTACTTTGTGTTGTATTTTATCTGTGTAAATGCTTTGATGATTGTTTTATATGATGAGTTAATTTGTGTGAAAAACGTCAGTTTTATGTATATTATGGAATATATTTCTCAAAAATACATCTATATGCTAAATATACATTTGACAAACGATCGCTGTCTCTTTAAGAGGAAGAACTCTAGGCACCAACTGTTACATGTAAATATATTCAGAATCCGGACGAGCGCGGCGTGCCAGCAGCCAATCACGGAGCGCGTCCAACCGCGGGAGATCCAAATTTCGCGGGACGTAATTTGGCGCTAAAATAGCACTCCTCTGTTGAACTGATGTCAAAGCAAAGCTTCTCGGCCGGAGAGGGATTACAGACACACAGGAACGCTCCCAATAGCCGGCTCGACGCAAGAACTACAAGAGGAACATTCCCAAGCGTTATTTACCTTTGAAAGGTAGATTTATGAACCTGAATGACCGTGGTACATTTAATACATGTTTAATTTATTTGCAGTTTATTAAGACGTAATAGCCTCTGTCGTGCCACTAACAAAGGACCCTAGGAGAGAGTTTTGTTTATTTCGGATGTTTATATTTTTGTAGTTTTCACGGATAATTTATCTACAACTTCTAACAGTATTTATTATACTAAAGTGCGTGTTTTCTGTATCATTTGTAGTCTTTTAAGATATAAATATTCATTTTGACGGTTGATTCCTTCTGCAGTAAGTAGTAGACGCGATTTGCGTAATAAAAGAGTTTCTTTTGCGTCATTTTCGCGGGTTTTTGGGCATCTCGTGAGCAAAATGATGCGGATACCCAGAGGGATTTCTCCTTCTTCTGGAAGAGGTGCAGTATCTGGACTCTCGTGCCCACAAAAGAAAATGTTCTCCGCGGTGAGGACGGATTTTTTTAACACGGGACTCGCAAGCCCACTGATGAATTCGGTACCGGCTGGATACTTAACTCAGATCGGGAACACGACAGCTGCAGAGCAGAGACCCAACTGTTTGTACGCGACCCCCCACGGGCCGGAGCCTAAGCCAGTGCGGACCTCTTCCGGGCGGCTGCCGGTAAGCTTCTTTCCTTCCACAGCCACCACGGCTCTTGCTACTATGCTATGTATGCGCATGCTTGCTGTTTCATGTCTTAGTACAATAGTATATCACTTAATAAAACACTGCTAGAGTCACATTGTGGAATCCACGTTCTACAGAATGAACGCTTCCCGTTTTTGGCTTTGCCCAGAGGGTTTTATCTGTGCCATCATCTCTGATGTACTGAAAATCTGTCAGTTCCTCATGAATGAATAAAACAGGCCGGTAATTGGAGAGCATGACCACAACACTGCATGTATATTTCAGTCATTACATTAGGACAGACAGGACCTTTAGGACCTGAGAGTGTGGCAAGCCATTTGTTTCTTAAAACAAACTAGTCATCCTTTTAGGCTCAAGTATTTAACATTCAAAATAGTACTCACTGTTGCTAATAGTGACAATTTAGACCATAGTCAGGGTAGTGACATTTAATTTTGGAAAGGAGTGAAAAGGAGACCGAGGGATAGAATTACAGTGTGTTCAAAGTCTTATGCTGTTGTGTAAAAACATGCCATTTGCTCTGATGAAACATCTTTCCACAAAAAACATTTGAACATTTTATGAAAATTATCATTAAAAATACGATTTAGGACTTTATTCAGCTATTGCATAGGCTGTAAGTCTAACACTCACAGCCTCATGTTCAAATACGTTCAATTCAATATGGCGTCTACCCTAAGGTCTATGCCATGGTTACTGTTAACAAATCAATAATTTTTGCCATTGAATTCTGTGGAAATCTGTCATTCAAACTGGAAAACTGGAATAGATACTATAACTAGCAACAAAATGACTACTGGTACTGAATTAATAGTAAAACGGAAAACTGGTGTGTTACCAGTAGAAACCTTGATGATACAGGGAAAAGGACTTGTAGCAGAAAACTACTGGAACCAGCATTTAATCAATAGTTGCTAGTGAAATTGAAAACAAAAAAAAAGTGTTCCCTATTGCACTACATGAGTGACATCAAAATATATAGTTGTATTTAGTTAGTTTTGAATATTGTCATGGCTTGCCATAGGAGTTATTTCAGGGGGGAGGTGGTAGAAACTGATGGATGGGGGAAGGGTGCTTTACAGCTTCTTAACCGGACATTATATTATACGGTTCAGGCCTAATAGTAAAGTGGGGGAAGGGTCTTCAAAGGTAAATTCATCAAAATACAGAACCTTTTTATATTTAGCAATCTATAAACTAGAGATTGACCGATATATCGATTTACCGATATTTTTCCCGATATTTAAGCATTTTACAATAATCGGATATCGGTTTTGTAATATCTGATTCACCGATAAATGCCGCCATCTTGTGGATGTTTTGAGAATTGCGCGCAGGATCACCATTGCAGCGCGTCTGAGGGGAAACAAGACAACAACAACGGCGTGCACGGGTACTTGATTTACTGTAGTTAGTAAACTTTAACATAACAGCCATTAATGCACAAATTAGATGTATTACATAAATGCCTGATATGCAGTTTATGCAGCTTGGCTCGAAGAAATAGAGACGAACTCACGGAGTCACGTAAGATAATCCGTCAAGTCCTGTCCCAATAAAGACGTAACTTTGCATTCATTAAATAATACAGCCATGAATGCGCGCATGTTGGAAATAAAAACGCTAAATTTAATTCTCTGTCTGTTGT